CACCAAGTAAATTTGACAAGGCTACCCAAGTGCCGAAACACAAAAGGCCCCCATTTTACATGCAGGAAGGCTACCAAAGGGACTACCTGCTCCGTATACCAGGAGCTCATCTTTCTTCACCTCATTTACACAGAATTCGAGATAACAAATATCATCAGACAATCCACCGAACATTTCCTGAACATGCAAGTTGCCACGGTTAATGTAGTTCATAAAAAACCTCAGCGAGAGGGCCGGCCGAGTGGCGCGATGGTTAAGAACTCGCTTGGGATGCCAGAGGGCCCCGGTTCGGATCCCACATATGAGGGCCAGTGACACTGCCCTCCACAGCTAAGATGCTGAACAACAGCTCAACCTGGAGCTGGGCTGCCATGAGTCGCCGGCGACGGCGTGGGCTGCAGTCCCTGCGGCAGTGGGTTGCCATGGGCTACCGAGCAGCCAGCGTGAGCGGCCAGCAGCCGCAGTGAGCTGCCGTCCAGAAGCCGGCGACTGATCTGCCTCGCCAGAGAAGAGCGCAATGATGGTGCCAACTTGGGCCAGTGAAGCAACGTCCTCCACAACTAGATTGAAGAACAAAAAATGACATCAACTTGTCTGTTCCCCTTTCCCCAATTCCCCAGCACTGTTCCCATCCCCCCAATTCCCCAATAAAAATCTTTAAAAAAAAAAAAAAAAAAAAAACCTCAGCGAGAGAACATTTCACAACTTATGTCACAACTTATCAGCTCAGCCTATGCAGGAATTATGTGTTGCAATTGTGTATTAGGAAGGAAAGAAACAAGTCCCTTCTCGCCTCGACGTCCCTTTCCTCTGTGACGTACAGGTGCTGCCATCATGTGGCCATAGAGAGCACAGCCATGCCATTCTGGACAAATTCTACGAAAATATCTCCGGATTAGAAAGATTGAAAATTTACAAGAATAAGAAATGTAAAGGCAATTCTCAAATTAAACAAAGACATAGTCAGGCATTCCTCAATTTAAGACATCTGTTTATATGGTGGCTGTTTAGAACTCAAGACACATTTTCTCTTCAAAAGAACCTGTAAGTGTTGATGAGCTGCCATAGCTTTTCTCCCAATACCTATATGACCCGTACAAACATAGCATAAAAACGCTATTCCAAACCATGCCTCACAGCCATTTGCAACCAGTCTTCTACCAGAATGTGTGTGGGCTTCCAGCTTAAGGTGGCATCTTGCCTTGCTCTGAAGCAAAACCAGTTCTTATCTCTCCCGATGCTAACTGAGCAATTAGCTACTATTATAGTTACTTTGTCAGTGATACAGGTCTTAAAGTGGCTCCTGGGCCATGAGCACCCCAGGCCTCCAAGGAGGCAGACACTTGCAGACATTCCTCCACTCTATCTATGCTAAGGTAAAGAAGAGGGCTCCTGAGATATCCCACTGCCATTTATCAAACTTTTCTGAGCACCTCCTAAGTGACTGGCCTTGTGCTGGGTGCTGGAAATACAGAGAACCATAGAACATGATCTCTGCCCTTTAGGAGGTCACAGTCCAGTGGGAGAAAGAGACACATAAGTCCAAGCGTACCGCATAGTGTGATAAGTGCCCTGCAAGAGACAAGGATAGTATTATGGCGTGAAGGCTACGGGCTGGGCTCTTTCTTTTATCAGCTTTTATATCGTCTTTGTTAGGTGCCAGGTCCTATTTTAACAGCTTACAAGCATAAACCTGATAATCATAGTATGAGAGAGGTCCTATTATCTCCCATTTTTACAGATAAGAAACTAAGAGGTTGAGTGGCAGACCTGAGATCGGAACCCAGGCAGCCTGTAGTGATGAGCAGAAGGGAAAATACAAATCACAGCCACTCTGCAGGTCTGTTGTGTCTACTTGATAGACAGGCCCCTGAGGCTCCCTTGCTCCACACTCTGATGGGCTGCTTCGCAATGCCATCCCAGCAGAGGAGATGCATGTAACTCAGACCAAGGGATGGAGATGGCTTCCCAGAAGGGGTAATTCTTGAGATTTATATTAAGTATGTATGAGTTAGAGAGGCATATTCTGGACAGACAGGAGAGAAAGTGCCAAGACACACAGCCATTAAGGACCTGATAGGGTTGGGAACTATACGTGCTTCACTAGGACTATAGGAGATACAAGGGTGAGTGACAGAAGATGAAGTTCGAGAAGTAGACAGGAGCGGTGCCAAGTCCCAATGGGGGCTACAGAATTATCTTCAGTATGAAATGATGTCATCAGATTTGGAGATGGTTTAGTAGGAGACCAGATCATTAGGTGGACTAATTAGGAGGCTATCATAATAACCGAAGCAATAAATCTCAGCTAAACCACTGACCCTCGGGATAGAGAAGAAAAAATGCATGAGATATGTTCATTTGTATAAATGTTTGTGTTCATTATGCATTAGCCTGGGACATCCCATCATCTGTAGGGTAAAGCCCAAGCCCATTAGGATGGCAAACAAGACCCTGTTCCACCTGGACTGAGTTTCTCTTCCAGCAGGTGCTTCCCTAGGGAGTACAGGAAGGTGACCCTCATACACCAGCTGCTCACCATCCCCTCACAGGCTGTAGTCCTGACTCCTCTGTGCCTATGAAAAGGCTATTTCCTCTTAGCAAACTCTTACTCATCATTCAAAACTCATCTCAAACGTCATCTCTCTGACTTAAACACTGATTGAGCACCCTTTAGTTGACATCCTCTTGGTATGAAATGCTTGGATGATGCACAAGAATATCTGGGGTGGTCCCCCACTGTGGCCATTGGGTGCACAACTGCAGAATCCCTTCCTTCTATTGACTTGCTCCATTTCACATCCATATTCTATCAGGGCTTCTCAAGCTTTAGTGTGTATATGAATCACCTGAGAATCTTGCTAAAAATGCAGGTCCAGATTCAGTGGTTCTGAGGTAGGGCCTGAAAATCTGCATTTCTAAAGAGGTCCCAGGTGATGCTGGTGGTGCTGGCTGCAGACTGCATTTGAGTAGCTAGTCTTATATGTTTTCTCAGTATAGTCTGATGAAAACCCAATAAAGTCAATTAATTTTGTTTATTGACACTGAACTCTTTAAATTTTTTATTGAATTTATTGGGGGTGACATTGGTTAATAAAATTATATAGGTTTCAAGTGTACAATTCTGTAATACATCATCTGTTTATTGCATTGTGTGTTCACCACCCAGAGTCAGTGCTCTTTCCGTCACCATATATTTGACCCCCTTTACCCTCTTCCATCTTCCCCCCACCCCTGCTACCCCCTGGTAATCACTAAACTGTTGTTTGTGTCTATGTGTTTTTGTTTGCCTTATTCATTTGTTGAACTCTTTATTAAGGTAAAATTTACATACAGTGAAATGCACAGAATTAAATTTAAACTCAGTGAGTTTTGGCAAATGTATACCCCCTCCCCCCTGTGACCTACACCTCAATCAAGAACATTCACATTTCCAGAAAGTTCCCTTATTCCCCTTTCCACTTAATCCTCCAAGTAAAGATGGTTCTAAAGGGGCCCAATATGATGCAGTCCAAGGAAATAGCTTTTTGATTCAGGAGACCTGATCACAGGATAAATTTAAAGATGAACAGGGAAAACTGCACACCTTTCAGGCAATCCTACATAAAAAAAACATAAACTACTGTTCTAACTAATAATCACTGGAGCTATTATCTTAGAGTAGTTTCTTTGTTCATTTTTCAAAAAATTACTCCAGGTACCTGGCCCTGTGCTATGCAGAGAACAGCAAGGCGAACGAACATGTTGGCTCTGTGTTCAGGGAGCTAGCTAGCTTGTGTCTCGCAAGGGAAACAGACAAGGAACTTGGCGGAAAATTCCTGGAAGAGTTCATGCTGGGACATGTGACATTCCTAGCCAAGGCAGGGAAGGCTGGGAAGGATGAGAGGAAATCCATGAGTCATTCATACATCTCACGTTTTACACATCTCGCTCTTGCATGTCACTTTGCAAAACTTCCCTTATCTCCGCCACAGCCCTGTGACAAGGCAGGTACCACTACAGCCATGCACTGCTGAACCCCAGGGATGTGTTCTGAGAAATGCATCGTTTGGGGAGTTCACAGTTGTGTGAACACCATAGAGTACACTTACACAAACCTAGATGGTATCGCCTACTACACACCTAGGCTGTATGGCATAGCCTGCTACTCCTAGGCTACAAGCCTGTACAGCACGTTACTGTATAAAACAACACAAGACTAAATCAAGCACAAGACGAAATAATGCAATCAAAATAATACGAGATATACGAGGCTGCTGCCAACATAACACTGCATACTGTTTTACAGTACACTTTTTTTATAAGTAGAAAGAGTACACTCTAAGAGAGTGATTAAAAGCATAAGACACTAAAAACATAAACCAGTAACAGTTGTTTATTATCATCACCAAGTACTATGTACTGTACCTAATTGGATGTGCTATACTTTTATATGACTGACAGCACAGGTTTGTTGACACCAGCATTATCACAGACATAGGAATAATGTGTTGTACTATGATGTTATGACAGCCATGACATCCCTAGGCAACAGGAGTTTTTCAGCTCCATTATCTTATAGGACCATTGTTTGTATATGCAATTGGCTGTTGACTGAAACGTTGCTATGTCATGTATGACTACATTCCCCTTTTATAGCTACAAAAACTTGAGGCTTGGGGAGGTCATCTTACGGTCACACACTGATGAGTTGCAAAGTGAGACCTCTTGCTCCCTGAAAGTGCTCATGCATATCGAGGCCAGCTGAGTGGCAGGAATCACAAGGGTGCTCTTCCTAGGGGCTCAGACACTAGACCCTGCATGAACAACAGGCCTGGCTGACAGGAGTGGGCCGCCTGTGGCCTTGACAATCCACTCCCTCTTGAGAGGTGACTCTCAGGCCCTGGAACTGTCCCTTCCAGAGAACGTATTTCCTGCATTCCCTGTGTGAGGTCTCCAGCCCCTACTGGCCTGCACAGAATGGCTGTTCTAATTGCCACCCACCCTCCCTTGTGTTTTAGCATCTTGCTTCCTGCTCCTGCACCATGAAAACCCTGCTTTCTGACCTCCTGCTGCTCAGCCTCTTCTCCAGTGTGTCCAGCACCTGTCAGAAGGACTGTCTGACCTGCAGAGAGAAGCTCCGCCCAGCTCTTGACAGCTTCAACCTTGAGGTGGGTCCAGGAGCGTCCCTGTCTTCTCCTCTCTCCCTCCTCCAGAGCAGACACAGAATGAGAAACTAAGGGTTCACCCAGAGGTCATGTGACTCGCCCAGTGTCACATAGTCAGTAGGAATCAGATTAGGATTTGAACATCTTCTGAAACGCAAACCTTGTCATCTTTCCACCTTACCATGCTCAGGTAAGGACCAACCAATGCTGCCATTTTGTTCCCATTATTAAAATAGTGTATACTTGGGTGGGCCAAGTGGCTTGTTGGTTAAGAGTTGGCCTGGGAG